CACTCTCTTAAAACATTTCATGTGTTTTAAAGTGTGACAAGGCAAATGTATTGATCAATCCATGTTGGGTTTTACATTCAGCGAGATATTGATACTACCCTAAACCTTGAGGTTCATACGTTTTAGGGGACCATTTTCAGAATGAACATGTGGAAGTTTTTGGGTTTGGGCTAGCAACCCGTCATGTGTAAACACAGCGCTACGGAAACGGCAACAAATCTAAATCACACCTTCATGGGAGAGCATCTGAGGTTTGAGGTAGCTTAACCTGATATAACGAGTTTAGATAAAAGCAGCGAGGAAGTCTCTACTCCGACGAATTCCTTTGTGATTCCCAAAATAATTATACGAGTAGGTGCTTGAAATGTGCGTAGCATGTACGAAATATATAAAATAACTCAAGTGGTCAATGAAATGTCATGATACAGGATCAACAATCTGGGTGTTAGCGCAATGAGATGGGCAGACTAAGTCCTTACTACAACTGGACTAGGAGCAACTGTAATATATTCTTTGTTGTCTGATGGTCAACACCGGGAAGGAGTTGGTATTATCATGGATAGTGAATTAAGAAAACATTGATACGGTAAAAACCAATCAATTCAACAAAGTGAATGATCCAAGGTAAGAACTGGAGTCAGACGGGGCTGTGTCATCTCACATGTCATCTTATTGTTGGTAATTGACTATATTATGAGTAGAGACACTCAGGACAAGCCAAAAAGAATTGTTGGGGAACTTACAAACCACACGGAAGACTGCGACTTTGCTGATGACTTGGCTCTACTCTCATATGACTAAAAAGAAGTTCCAATTAAAGAAAAGCATATTGCTAAAAGCGTTGGGCTAAAGATAAACTCCGGGAAGAAAATACTAATGAAAGTAAAAACTAAAAGTGCTCTCAAGCTAGATGAGGTCGAAGACCTAAATTACCTCGGCAGCTATAACTCAGCAAATGGCTGCAACGAGAAAGATATAGACTAAAAAAATAGCAATGGAATCACAGGCTTTCCAAAGACTAGCTAGGATCTGGAAACCATCCTCACTGCAGTGAGGAACCAAAATAAGTATTTACAAGTCTAAGTTTCGTTCTGTACTCCTCTATGCTGAAGAGTCATGGAAACTAAACAAGAAAGTAGAAAGCCGCCTTAGAGGTTTGCAAAGAAGATCCCCCCAATCTGTTCTCAAGATAAAGTGGAACGACAAATTACCGAACAAGGAAATACGACGAAGGACAGGCTTAAGCAACATTGTCTTAGATATTGTCTTAGAAGTACGAATGAAAAGATGGCGATGGCTGAGCCATGCCATTCGTGTGAACAGAAGAAGAATCCACAACGTGGTGCTAAAATGGACTCCACCTGGAAAGAGCAAAATATGGAAGAAGAAGTGCAGGCTACTGGCAAGACCTGGCATGAACTAAAGTGGCTCGCCCAAGGCAGAGTGGAATGGCAAATACTTGTTGCTTCCCTATAATCCACAGGGGGTGACGAGAGTTAAAATAACTAAATTATCTAAAGGTCAGAGTGTACTGCCTGTCTTATTCAAATATAACTCCACGTATTAGTACATAGAACTGTGCGTACTAATTAGGATGTGTAATTTCTCATCCCCATACTGTCCGTCATTAAGCCCGTGGGTTTATGGCTGGCTTTTGCTTTCTCCACGGTCAACCGGATCACCTGGATTCAGTGTGAAGATACGTTGATAGGACAACAAATGTTCACGTTTTGACGTTTTTAACTGATTCATCAGATGACTTACATGGGGAGTAAGAGATTAAACGAGAAATATTTTAAATAAAAAAAGTTGAACTAGACAGAGTAGCTCTAACACCATAATTCAAAACAAAATTGTTCGTTTCTAAAAACACACACAGACCACCTAAAATTGTAATATCTAGGTGACAATTGTCGTTGGGCCTGAGGAATTATAGGGTCTTAAACCTTTTGTTGTAGCCTGCAACCCGGCAAAAACAATGGTAAATTTTAAAATGTAGAAGAGATTATTTTATTTGTATAATAAAATGTAGAAAAAACACATTAGCCTTATGTTGTTGATTCTAACTTTAGCGTGAAGGATGATGATAAACAATAACGATCATAAAGAAAATAAAACAGGAAAAGTAATAAATGCCGTCCTCATAGACATTCTAATTTTCTTGGTTATTCCCCTTAGACCGTACAAATTTTCTTCGAACTCCAATTTCTTATAAGTACGAGCCTATTTTTCCACAGCTAAAAATTTGAAAAAGTGATAGAGTTGTATTTTTTCAATTTATTAAAATACGAAACCTTTAAGTCGGCTGTTTTCAAGAAGGCGTTATTAAAGGCATGTTACAACGAGAATCGAAACAAAACCATTTAAAGTATTTTTCATTTTGTTTTCAATGAGTATTTTTTTTACTCCGGCCTCTTGAAATACAATATTTAAACTTGTTTGATTGTTGCTTACTTTTGTGTATTAATTTTATCAATCCAGCGCTAACTGCGGTAAAGAAACCAGCCCTAACCACAGGAAAGAAACCAGCCCTAACAAACCACGCGTTATTTCAGCTAAACTCTGAACGTTTAAATTCAGTTTTGTTTTAAGAACATAAAATCGCATTCCTTTTGACTACATACTTTTTATTTGAGATGTTAAGACATTAAAACAACGGCGGCAAAAACTTGACCGATTTTGTTTTATTTTATGTAGGGTAAGGCAATGTGATCAACCAACATTGAGTATATCATCTATAGAATTGTATAGCTGTTATTCCTCTTCTTCGTTCTTAATCCAAGTGTTGAAAGGGATTCCAACCAACACATTTAAGTATTACGTATGAACTAATGCGCCGTAAAGGCCGTTGGCTCAAACTTTTCTTGTTGGATTTGTTGCCATAGCTTTGTCCAATCAAGTTCAAACTATAAATCACTGGTGAGTTGTTGATTTTGGAGTTCTCTCCTAAATGAGTTGCTGTTCCTTGCTTTTAAGCCTCATCTGCCTGGGGGTTCGAATTCGCGACTTTTTCAAAAAACCATGAGCTTAACCGACCCGACCTCAAAAGCTATTCAAACATGTCGGGTTTGTTGTCAAATTTAACCTACAATTTACATCCACTACAAGACTTACACATATAGCGACATCAACAATAATTGTTTTACTGAGCGTTATATCAAAAACTGTACAGGTTACAACACACACAATTTTATTCCAGTCAAAACATTCTTTATTTTAAAATATTTGCAAAACAATTCAACACATGACATACATTCATAAAGCAATACAATTACAAATAATGTTCATATTTACAAGATAAAAGTAAGAATAGATATATAGATATGGATAGAGAGAGAGAGAGAGAGAAAGAGAGATAAAAGTGACGACGATTAAAGCATATTACAGAAACCAAGCATTTCAATCAATTAGTTAAGGTGTATAAAATATTTTAAAAGACATTAAATACATTGTACATGACGGGAATTGTTCCGCCATTTTGTTTGTTTACATTGTGTAGACAAGGGGAGAGAACTAACAGCTACATCAGTACTGCCACTCCCCACTATAATTTCCTTCAGAGTTTGATCCACTGTGGGAATGGTGATACGACCACCCGCCATATCCCAGCCTGTAGACAGGCGCTCCACTGGAGCCTGGACATGTACATGTTGTGTACCAGTACCTGGTGTGCCTGAAATCACTCTCAAGTGTGTGTGTCCATTGTCCTACAGAGACCTGTTTAGGACAGCCATGAGGATGTGACACTATAACGGTCAACTTGTCCACATCACCTAATCTCCTGTATTTTTTCTTTACTTCCCTACATAGGCCATTAAAGCGATCAAACATCTTGTCCAGTTCATCAACCAACTCTAACTTATCTAAGTCACATGTCACATAATTCAACACACACCAGTCTCTCTCAATGTATGCCCCACCCACCACCTCCCAGCCATCAAGACTGACTCCAGGACTTTTATTGTCATCAAAACCTAAAACACACCTGGTCTGTCTCGCCTCACTGTCATCAAACACCACGTGTTTAGCTGTCACTACACGAACCATCCCCCACACTTTGCTGGGTGTGGCAGAGACTTGACACTTGGCACAATGACAAGTTCCCCTTCTGTCACTCTCTGTGTACTTGTACACACTCTCCACCCTCCCCGTCCCTAACCTCAACACGTGACGTCCTCTGTCATTATAAAATGGATATGGAACTTGAGTGTCAGTGTAAAACTCTGGTCTCTTTAGACTGGTGAATTTAGTCTTTACCTGGACAGTTAGGGCTGCCAATGTTTTGATTGTCTTAGACATGAGGTCGTCGTCATGGTAACGTGAGGGGAGACAACTTGAGTTGAAATATTTGAGAGGTATAAAACCTTTGTGACCTGGATTCTTCTTACAGCCAGTAACATGTTTGTGTAGATCAGCTTCTCCTCCATAGCACATCTCAGCTTCATGATTTCCTACAGGAACAAACAGGTTTTTTAATATAAAGGTTTTTAAATTTAAAAGAAATATGTAAGTATTTAAAAGTTTTAAAATGTGAGTTTATTTATGGCCAGTCTTTTTTTACTTTTTTAAAATTTTACTGTCTTATCATACTTAATAGAGTGCAATAAAATTTAGCAATAGATGGACCATATTGACGTGGAGATCTGAAGACTTTCAATTTATTTATTGACCATGTAGATAATATTCTTAAGCTTGTATACCTTTTAAAAAATAAAATTTCATGTCTGAGTAAAATAAATAGCTTTATTCTTTGGGAATTGACATAGATTTTTTTTTGCAACATGTCATAACTAAAGATTGTCTTATCCTGATGCTATTTTTAAAACAATGCCTCTTTCATTGCAACAAAATAAGCAACAAAGGCCTAATAGAAAACAAAAAGTTAAATGGTCACATGTATATAGAGACAGGAGTAGGCCTATTACCATTAATCTGACCGTAAGAAATTAAACATCAGGTCATCGATCTGAATTTAATTTAGTTACTGTTTAAACTTTTACCTGGATAAAAAATATCTGTCATCCCAGAATTTGCTGGATCTTGTTGGATTTTCTTTATGGCCACATCTAAAAGAAAAATTAAATGCAAGAGCCATTCAAATAAAGGAACACAATTTCTTTTAGGAATTTAATATGTTATAAAAGAAGATAAAGTAGTTACAATAATTATTAGTTATAGGCTTTTTTTCTATTAACTATTATTTTTAACCTATTTATGCTTAATCAACCATTACAGTGTTTAATTATTTAGGCTTATCCTACACTACACAGATTTCCACTAACTTCATAATATTTACAAACCTGACAGTTTCACTGATTCACATACACATATTTTACCTGTAGGAATTGGCTCAATTTTCTCTTCTATTGTTGCGGTAGTTTCCATGTCTTGCATTGCTGTTTCAGAAAATGTGTATATTAATACATGATAAAGAAAACTTTTACAAGGGTATAATTTTTTCTTACTTACTGACAGAATGTTGCAGCTTCAAAAAGTAGCACATTATTATTATGCTGGATGTCATTGTGCTTCTTAAAATAATTGTTAAGGGATCAATATAAATATATTCAGCTTAAAATGCAGGATGGATTAGGAAAAAAAAATTACAGCAAATTAGAGTAATTAACTGTTATAGGGCCTATAACCAGAAGGGCAGGACAACAAGACAGTCTCTCTTGTCTATGAGGTCTCTCTAAGGAAGTTAAAGGAAACATAAGACAGACATAAATACAATAAAAGTCCCGTTGTATCATGCAGGTAGAAAAATGAAACTTTGTTTGATTTATAAACTACTAACTAACAGTTTGAGTTGCCATAGCCTTAACTTTTTATTGTTTAAACTAATTCTTTATCATTAATTAATTAGAATTCTTAAACTCCAATAAATACTCCTTATTATTTAATTTTTTTTTTTAAATTATAAATCGGCCCCTATAGGACCTACATCTATAGATAGACTAGTTATAGATATGTAAGCCTTTATATAAATATAAATTAACTTAAATTATTAGTGACAAAACCACTGTAATGTAGATTGTAGCTATGGAATTAACATCATTAGTTGATTAGAGCCATATTACATGATTTGTACATGACTAGATCTAGAGACTCAAGCTGCTAGCTAGTCTCTAGACTTGATTCTAACTATAACAGTGTTATAACACTGTCTTATAATAATTAAATAATAGACTTAGTATAAAGTATAGTATAGATAGATTGTGTATAGATCTAGATCTAGATCTTTCTAGAAATCTAGATCTAGGTCTAGATCTAGATCTACATCTAGATTAGAAATATTAACAAACATTAATTAGCCTCTCAAGATCTAGATTAATTTCTACAAGATATAGATCTAGATTTTAGTACTTATATCTATCTAGAATTCTAGATAGAAAATTAGTTGTGAATTCATGTAGGCCTAATAATATGATATTTATATAATATAATAATAATATAGCCCTAGGCCCTAGATCTACTGTTACTAATAATTAATAATTTGTTAGGCCTACTACTAGATTCTAGTACTAGTCTACTAATAAATTTAAAATGGCGTGTCTGATGGTTAAGTGAATTACAAGGGTCAGCTGCTATAGTATAATAATAGTGCTAGGCGAATATTAAAATATAATTAGATCTAAAATACTAAATCTAGATTCTAGACCTAATTATAACAGTGCTTTTTCACAGTTAAAGAACTTCAAAAGGCTATTTGTAAGTAAAGTATCAAAAATATGTCGAATCTTAGAATAAACACGAGAAAATAATTGGCTATTGTAAATGTAACTAATATGTTCGAATTTAATATGAAGTGATAAAAATACACTAAAAAATATACCTTTTTGTCTATTAGGGCCTAGATCTACTTAAATATCCATTTTAGCACAAAAACGAAGAAATGAGATTAAATTTAGTTTCTGTCCCCACCCCCACCCCTGGCCTGCCCTACACACACTAATTAAAAACACACATTAAAACCTAATTGCAATTTCACTCGAATAATTGATCAAACTCGATACCCATTTTTATAAATGTGTGGTGTAAGACGGAGTAGTTGGTATGTTAAGAAGTTTAAAATTGCACATTGAATATCAACAATTTTTTTCGTCCATCGAATCGTGCAATACTTTGCTCTACGTTTGAACTTTAGGTAAATAAAGTTTAGTATGAATGGTAATATTTATATAATATAAGATTAATATTATGGAATTATTCAAAAATATAATATTTAAGGAGCACAACAATTAGAACTAGATCTAGAACGTACCTTTTGTTGTAGACTGCTGAGAAATGACGATAGTGCCTGGATATTCCAGAGGTTTATTTTTAGATTTTTTAGTCATATCTTTGTAATGTGAGGTTTTCCCGTTTTTTGTTTACCGTCGAAATAAGTTTTTACTATTTTTAGTTACTAGATTCGAGGTCCGGATGTTTCCATTTAAAAGTGAGAAATGAAATCTATTTTAAAATTTGAGTGCCGGTCATTCAGCTTCATCATCATCGTTGTTGTGGATCCTACGACTCCCCTGGAAGTTTTAGTCCGCCCCCCACCTCCCCATAAAATTTCAAGTCCCAGCCCAAAGATCGAAGTCTGGAAGAAACACTGGAAATGACTCTTTTGGTGTTCTGCCAAGAAAATAAAAATAGACCAACAAAAGCGGAGAGGCTTTTTTTTGCGGCCATAAGTGTCTTAGGCACAAAAGAGAAAAGATAATGAGGTAGGAGATTCAATAAATGCTAATATTGGCGTCGGGCTCGGGAATTGAGTAGAGTTGGCTATCGATGCCAGATATGATGTGCCCAGACTGATGTATGTGGTGACAACAAAAAAATCTATTGTTGAAAATTAACTAATTAAAAAGGCTGTTTGGGAAAGAATAAATAATAAGACTTAAAAAAATTGAGTAAGGAGAATTGTCTAGTAAACTGTTGCGAAAAAACACTTTTTTTTGTATGTGCAGAAAATGAGTTAATTAAAATTTTATCATATAATTCTAGCTTAGTTATTTGATACAAGGACCAGGTTTTCCAATAAATAACGTGTCAAATTAAATAACTTCACGTGCCATTCATTGAAGTAATGTGACTAATAGCAGAGTAAGCCTGTTCTATGCTTAGGCTGTCTTTACTTTCCACCCCACCCTCTTTTCTTGTGGCTAACTTGAACTAATTGTTGAGCAGCTGCAAGTTTTTTTTAATACATCAAAATACATTCGAGCATGAAGGAATATGATAAACAATAACGATTATAAAGAAAATAAAACAAGACAAGTAATTAATGCCATCCTCAATGACATTCTAATTTTCTTTCTTTGTTACACCCCTTAGACCGTAAATATTTTCTTCGAAATCCAATTTCTTGTGTATACTATCTACCCTTTCCGCAGTTTCAAATTGGAAAAAAGTGACAGTAGTTGTTACTTTTTTTCATCTAATTAAATATTAAACCTTTATGTAGGCTGTTTTCAAGGCTTTATTAAAGGCATGTTACAATGAGAATCGATACAAAACCACTTAAAAGTACTTTTCATTTTGTTTACAACAAGTTTTTTTTTTACTCAGGCCCCTTGAAATACAATATTCACTTGTTTGATTACTGATTACTTTTGTGTGTTAATTTTACTAAACCAGCCCTAACCGCGTGAAAGAAACCACCCCTAACATCGGGAAATAAACCAGCCCTAACCGCTGGAAAGAAAACAGCCATAACTTCCGAAGAGAAACCAGCCCTAACTGCCGGAAAGCAAACAACACTAACCATGGAAAAGAAACCAAATCTAGCTGCCTGAAAGAAACCAGACCTAACAGATCCCAAGTTATTTCTGGACGTTTAAAATCAGTTTTGTTTTAAGAACATAAAATCGCATTCTTTTTTACTACATACTTTCATTTGAGATATTAAGGCATTAAAACAACGGCGGCAAATCTTGACCGATTTTGTTTTATTTTGAGTACGGGTAAGACAATGTGATCAACCAACATTGAGTATTTCATCTATACAATTGTATAGCTGTTATTCCTCTTCTTCGTTCTTAATCCAATTGTTGAAAGGGATTCCACCCAACACATTAGAGTATTACGTATGAACTAATGCGCCATAAAAGCCGTTGGCTCAAACTTTTCTTTTTGGATTTGCTTCCATAGTCTTTGTCCAACCAAGAACCAACTACAAAACAGTGGTGAGTGGTTTGATTTTTGAGTTCTCTCCTAGATGAGTTGCTGTTTCCAACCTCATCTGCATGGGGGTTCGAACTCGGGACTTTTCAGAAACCATGAGCTTAACCGACCCGACCTTAACAGCTGTTCAAACATATCGGGTTTGTTGTCAAATTTAACCTACATTTTACATCCACTACAAGACTTACACATATAGCGACAAATCAACAATAATTGTTTAACTGAGCCTTATAACAATATCCACCACAAACACAAAATGTACAGGTTACATCACAGCAGCTACAAAAGTAAACAACAATAAAGACAAAAGAGAAAGTTTTCTGTTAATTATTTTATTCGAATCAAAACATGCTCCATTTTAAAATATGTGCAAAACAATTCAACACATGACATTCATAAAACAAATAATGTTCATATTTAGGCCTACAAGATAAAAGTAAGAATAGATAGATAGATATGGAGAGAGAGAGAGAGAGAGAGAGAGAGAGAGAGAGAGAGAGAGAGAGAGAGAGATGAAAGTGATGACGATTAAAGCATATCACAGAAACAAAGCATTTCAATCAATTAGTAAAGTGTATAACATATTTTAGAAGACATTAAATACATTGTACATGGCGATATAGACGGTAACAGTTCCGCCATTTTGTTTGTTTATATTGTGTAGACAAGGGGAGAGAACTAACAGTTACATAAGTCTCACATCTCCCCACTATAATTTCCTTCAGAGTTTGATCCACTGTGGGGATGTTGATACAACAACCCGTCATATCCCAGCCTGTAGACAAACGCTCCACTGGAGCCTGGACATGTACATGTTGTGTACCAGTACCTGGTGTACCTGGAGTACCTGCCATCCCTCTCACGTCTGTGTGTCCATTGTCCTACAGACACCTGTTTAGGACAGCCATGAGGATGTGACACTATAACGGTCAACTTGTCCACATCAACAAATCTCCTGTATTTGTCCTCAACTTCCCCACATAGACCATCAAAGCGCCGACACATCTTGTCCAGTACATCAACCAATTTTAAGTCATATGTCACATAACTCAACTGACACCAGTCTCCCTTAATGTCTGCCTCATCCACCCGCCAGCCATCAAGACTGACCACTGGACTTTTATTGTTATCAAAACCTAAAACACACCTGGTCTGTCTCCCCTCAATGTCATCAAACACCACGTGTCTGGCTGTCACCACACAAACCTTCCCCCACACTTTGCTGGGTGTAGCAGAGACTTGAAATTCGACACAATGCCAAGGACAAGTTCTGTCACTCTCTCTGTACTTATCCACACGCCATACCCTCCCCGTCCCTAACCTCATCACGTGACTTCCTCTGTCTTTATAACATGGATATGGAATTTGAGTGCCTGGGTAAAACTCTGGTCTCTCTGGACTGGTGAATTTAGTCTTTACCTGGACAGTTAGGGCTGCCAATGTTTTGATTGTCTCAGACATGAGCTTGTCGTCATGGTAACGTGAGGGGAGATAACTTGCGTTGAAATCTTTAAGAGGTATAAAACCTTTGTGACCTGGATTCTTCTTACAGCCAGTAACATGTTTGTGTAGATCAGCTTCTCCTCCATAGCACATCTCAGCTTCATGATTTCCTACAGGAACAAAAACGTTTTTTAATATAAAGGTTTTTAAATTTAAAAGAAAACATATAAAAGAAATATGTAAACATTAAAAAGTTTTTAAAATGTGAGTTTATTTATGGTATGTTTTTAATTTTACTGTCTTATCATACTTAATAGAGTGCAATAAAAATTAGCAATAGATGGACCATATTAATATGGAGATCTGAAGAATTTCAATGTGTTTATTGACCATGTAGATAATATTCGTAAGCTTGCATACCTTTTAAAAAATAAAATTTCATGTCTGAGTAAAATAAATAGCTTTATTCTTTGGGAATTGACATAGATTTTTTTTTTTGCAACATGTCATAACTAAAGTTTGTCTTATGAGTTATCAGGACGCTATTTTTAACACAATTCCTCTTTCATTGTAACAAAATAAGCAACAGAGGCCTAATAGAAAACAAAAAGTTAAACGGTCACATATATATAGAGACAGGAGTAGGCCTATTACCATTAATCTGACCGTAAGAAATTAAACATCAGGTCAACCATCTGAATTTAATTTAATTACTGTTTAAATTTTTACCTGGATAAAAAATATCTGTCATCCTAGAATTTGATGGATCTTGTTCGATTTTCTTTATGGCTACACCTAAAAGAAAAATTAAATGCAAGAGCCATTCAAATAAACGAACACAAATTCTTTTAGGAAATTAATATTTTATAAAATAAAATAAAGCAGTTTCATTCAATAATACGTATAGTTTTATTTTCTATAAACAATTGTTTTAAAACATACTCATGTTGAATCAACAATCACAATTTTTAATTATTTAAGTCTGATTTGTGTGAGGGCTTATTCTTACACGACACAGATTTCCACTAACTTCATAATATTTACAAATCTGACAGTTTCGCTGATTGACATACACATATTTTACCTGTAGGAACTTGCTCAATTTTCTCTTCATTTGTTTCCATGTCTTGCAGAGCTGTGTCAGAAAATTTTTATATTATCGCATGATAGTGATAATTTTTACAAGGTTATCATATTTTTTTTTACTGAGAGAATGTTGCAGCTTTAAAAAGTAACATATTTTGTTGTATGTGATTGTGCTTCTTTAAATCATTGTAAAGATATCAATAGAAATATATTCAGCTTAAAATAGAGAATGGATTAGAAAAAAAAATAACTACAGCAAATTAGAGTAATAACCTATAACCAGAAGGTCAGGACAAAAAGAGGTCTCTGTATGGAAGTTAAAAGAAACATAAGACAGACATCAAGACAATAAAAGTCCCGTTGTATCATGCAGGTAGAGTGGCAGTTAGAAAATATGGAACTAACTTTGTTTGATTTATAAACTACTGACTAACAGTTGCCATAGCCTAAACTTTTTATTGTTTTAACAAATTCTTTATCATTAATTAATTAGAATTCTTAAACTCCAATAAATATACCTAATTATTTCAAAACATTATTTATCGGCCCCTAAAGTCTAAAGGATCTACATCTAGATAGACTAGCTCTAGATATGTAGGCCTTTATATAATAATAAATTCACTTAAATTAATTGCGACAAAACACTGTAATGTAGATCGTAGCTTTGGAATTAACAGCATTAGTTAATTAGAGCCATATTAATTAGATAGGTTTAGGCGCGACAAAGCTATGATAGATCTAGATCTAGATGCTGGAGATTTAAACATGACTAGATCTAGAGTCTTAAGCTGATAGCTAGTCTCTAGACTTGATTTTTAGCTAACACTGGCTAATTATAGTAATAACTAAATAGACTATAAATACTAAATAGTTAAATAGGCCTAGAGTATAGATCTAGATTTAGTTCTATCTAGAAATGTAGATCTAGACAATGGCGTAGCAAGGTCGGGTGTCACCCGGAGCGGCACTTAATGGTGTCACTCCCCAGAGGCGTAGCGACCCTTCCCGGGACAAGTTTTCGATTTGCACCCCCCCCTCCCACTCAGCATCAAGTTTTTAGTTTTTCTCTATATATTTAGCTATTTTTTGCCTTGGTGTCACCCTCCTAATTGGTGTCACCCCGTGCGGTCCACAACCCCCCCCCTCGCTACGCCTCTGGATCTAGATAAGAAATATTAAAAACATTAACTAGATTCTCTAAATCTAGCTAGATTGATTCTACAAGATTTAGATTTTAGTACTTAGATCTAGATCTATCTAGAACTTAGATCTAGATTCTAGAAAGAATCTAGATCTAGATTAAGACTAGATTCTAGATTAGATTAGATTCTGATGTTCGTGGCAAACTCACTAACTCAATTGTTCTCAATACGTCTCTAGATCTCTAGTCTTTACTTTAGACTTTAGAAAAGACTAGAGATCTAGATCTATATGATTCTAGAATCTAGATCTCATTCCATTTTTAACATGAATTCATAAAAATGTGTTATGAATTCATGTTAGACTAGTCACTAGATCTAGATATAGATCTATGTTATTGTTTTTCTTTAACTTTAACCAAGTGAGATCTAGTCATGTTAGCAGGCGTGCTTCACTTGGATTTGGGCCTAGGGTTGCAAGATACCTTTTCCGAAAATACTGGACACCTTTCCATCCTTCCCTTCTCAGGTATGTCGCAAAGCAGAAGAAGGGGGGTAACAGAGTATTATTCATATACTTGTCCAGTATTTATATTTATTTTATCCTGGACAGTCTGCTCAAATACTGGACTGTCCAGTTCAAAACTGTTATCTTTTTGTTTGAATGTTCAGTGTAATTCAAAGGTAAGTGGTCCTATACATAATTAATTACAAAAAGCTAAAACTAGATTAAACAATATTAATTACATCTTAAGCCTAAAAGTATTTCTTAAAACTAGCGCTATATCTGGTGAAACTCGATTTTTAAATAATTGAATCGATTATGATTAGGCCTAGTTTAGCAAGAATGAATATTAAATATCCAGTTTTTTATTTGACTGTGGGTTAGATTAATTTTTGTGTGTTCACTAAGGTTCTGTCTGTCCTGATTTGAAAAAGAAAAAGATTAGGCCTAATTAAAAATGATTTACTACAATTAATACTAGATTTAGCATGTTTAAAAAAAGAAGCACTACATCTTAAATAGCGTGTCTGATGGTTAAGTGAATTATTAGGCTTAGCTGTTTAAAGTCTAGGCGAATATTAAAATATAATTAGATCTAGGCCTAATTAGAACATTTTTTTTCACAGTTAAAGAACTTCAAAAGGCTATTTGTATGTAAATTATCAAAATATGTCGAATCTTAGAATAAACACGAGAGAATAATTAGTTTATGTAAATGTAACTAATATGTTCGAATTCAATATGAAGTGATAAAAATACGCTATAAAATATACTTTTTTTGTCTATTTCTTAAATATCCATTTTGCCACAAAAACAGAAAAAATGAGATTTAATTTAGTTTCTGCCCCCTTCCCCCCCTCCACCCCTCCCCTACACACACTAATTAAAAACACACATTAAAATATAATTGCAATTTCACTCGAATAATAGACAAACTAGATACACATTTTTAGAAATGTGTAGAATAAGATGGGGTAGCGGTGTTCAGAAGTTTAAAATTGCAAATTCAATATCAATAACTTATTTCGTACATCCAATCGTGCAATACTTTGCTCTAGTATGAATGGTAATATTTATATAATTTAAGAATAATATTAGGGATTTATTCAAAAATACAATATTGAAGGAGCACAACGATTAACTAGAACGTACCACTCGTTGCAAACTGCTGAAAAATGGCGATGGTGCCTGGATATTACATAGGTTTATTTTTAGATTTTTCAGCCATCTTTATGTAATGTGAGGTTTTCCCGATCTTTGTCCACCGTCGAAAGCAGTTTTAAGCTACCAAATACGAGGCCCGGATATTCCCGTTTAAAGATGAGAAATGAAATCTATTTTACAATTTTAATACCGATCATTCAGCTTCATCATCATCATCGTTGCTGTGGATCCCTTGTGGAGCAAACACACTTCTCCATCGTACTCGGTTCTGGGCGATTCCACCAAGTTGGGCCAACGATATTCAGGCTGCTTCTGTACGATTGTACACACATAGAATCAATGCCGCATAGGTGATTAGTCCCTGTGATATTTGACCACAGCAAAAGGGCTGTCCACGGGGTATGGGGGTATGGGGGGGGGTTGATCATGGTGATGGCTTACACAAATAGGCCCTACATTCATCACAGGTAATATACGATAAGGCTCCAACAAAAGCCCTTTTATGACAAGTTAAATGTAAAAAATCCTTGCGTTGTATTGCAACATTCATTTAACTAACTAGAATGATTTTCAATACCACTCCTAAACAGTGAAGATAACAAAAGCAACATTGAAAAAAAAACCTTAGGTATGAAGGAATTAAGCTTTTAATTGAAACTATCAATCTAAAAAATAAATGTAGCTTACGCTGTTCTAGTATGAATTATATTAAGTTGTTGCAAAATACTTGTTTGAAATAGTTTTTAATAAAAATGAACAGTAAGTAATAAAATAAGAATACAATTTTTCAGATTGTATTAAAAGGTCCATTGCAAAACAACATTTCAAAAAATCTCATGTAACGAAATAAAAAAACATGAAGAAGTAGTTTTAAAATTTTTGCGTAGTAACTTATTGACATTTTTCTTTGGTTAATAACTTATGCGAAGACAAAACAATTTGCATTGAAAATTATATTGTTGTAAAATAATTAAATTAATGTGTTTTTAAAAAAATCTAGTTTAAAGAGATAAAATAAAGGTAATTCCTTATTAAATTGTTGAAAAATAACTAATTCAAAAGGCTGTTTAAAATAGTAAAATACTTGAGTAAGGAGAACTGTCTAGAACTTTTTTTGCAAAAAATCAAATTTACTTTAAAGAAAAAAATGAAAACTAAAAAAACAAAGATAAATAGTTATCCTACGAACTTAGTAAATTAAAATTGTATCATGTAATTATAGAACTTTTTAAATTAATATTTACAAAAATAAAAATGTAAAAACAATGAATTTCTACATTTCATAGTTTTAAAATAGTATTTTCAGATTACTGCTAAAACATGAGTGTGATATGTATATAATTGACCTGTAAATTACATCATAAAAAAAATAATAACAATAACAGCAAAATTAGTTTAAAGAAATTTTTTTTTTTAAAAAAGCTAGACTATACTATCATTTCTTAACTAAACATGTTGTCCACTAACTATCATTTAAGGAGTTTAATTAACGACCAATTAATGAGGTCCACTAATGACCACCTAATGAGGGCCACTGATCCTCTCCTTCTTCTCCTGTCGTATGATGCCCCGTGGTTTGACCGGTGGGGTGAGGGTGATGTTAACTCGAGCTTGACCGTCGCCGTCAAGGATAGAACGCTTGCCCATATAGCCACTGGTAGAAAGATGAGAAGTTGAGCTCATTATTTCAATTCTACGTGTACACAATAAATAGGATAATACGTTTTTAATTTAACAGGCATTTATACACACACTCATATATATATATATATATATATATATATATATATATATATATATATATATATATATATATATATAAAGAGAGAGAGAGATACATTATATGGGTCCTTCTTTTAACAAACTGATACGATTTCTGTTTTTCCTACGCTGGGCACACCAAGTTAGATTATCGACATAAACAACAAAGCTACCAGACAAATAGATTTACATAACATATCTATAAGACAAGACATTGTGTAGAAAACCAAAAAGACTTACTAGCAGTAGCCACAACATAGAGTGTTCCCATAATATGGGCAGACTAAAGCCTTGCTGTATTTCGTGCAGTCCAGGGACTTGTCGCCGTACTCACAACCTAGATGGAGAAGTCGAGTCATTAAATAATTAGTGAAACCACTGTAATGATCATATAAATCTAGACATATTACTGGTTAAGTTAATAAAAATCAAAACAGTATCCACTGTTTATAGGTATATATATATATATATATATATATATATATATATATATATATATATATATATATAATCCATATTCCTAATTCTTTCTTTATAAAAACCTATTTGTAAAGGCAAACAACTTACACGGTATCTTAAACCAAATTGAGTAGGCTATATCTATAGACTCTATGATACTAACCAACAAGTGCGATACGATTTAGACCTAACCTAAATCCATCAAACAACGACTCACCAACACGGCCAGTGTAGTATTGCTTGCACGTGCCGCAGCACTGCTGTTGTAGTGATGTGACGTAGCAGTTGATGGGTTTGTAGAGGGCAACGAACCCTGGGCAGCTTCCAATGTAGGGGACGGACGGTAGTTCCAGAGTGCTCTGGTCATTCCAGACACAGTTGGCTGTACAGGTAGAAAGATGCAGGTATTAGTTAAAGCCATGCAATACAGCATACATTATTTTAATGTTAATTTATACCTACTTCAACCTGCCAAATTATTGTAAGATAATTTCTTAAGATTATTTTATTTCGACTTACGGTCAATATTTTGCGTAGCTGGAGTAGAGTCGGGCTGACATTTTCCTGAGTTGCATCTCTGAAATAGAATAGAGCATTAAATTATGAAAGAATATGAAGATATCCTCTCGCAACAAATAGCGTTATGTAGATAATTGAGTTCAATTTATATGTGAATAATACACTTTTTTTACAAACATATTTTCTGTTTTTATGATACTATATAAAAAATGGAAGCTTAAATTATATAATAAACGAGAATCAAATGTTAAGTAATAATTCACGCTTATACTTTCTCTAATGAACAAGCACAGATTTAATCGCGTAAAGACAAATAGAGGTTTCTTCGTTAAAAATAACAGTTCTAAAATATTTGTAAACACGTAAACCTAAATGTCAAAGATATAGCTGATAAATTATTTTTTATGAATATATACTCGTTTTTGATATGGTCAAAAAAATCAAATGTAATGACAAAACAATAATCCTTTACAAAACACATTGGCTACTTGATGTTCTCATTCAGAAACATAAAATATTCTTATTGTGTCGTAAGCGGCTAAATCCTTTTTAGTCATTTAACCGAACTTATTTTAAAAAGATGAATCCTAAGCTTCTTTGAAAAGAAAATATCAGGTAATCCATACAGACACAAAACAATCGTGATGCTTTTTAACGTGAAGTTAATCCCTGCTCTTTTGTTATGGTATGACATCTAATGTGAAGTTGATTCTTCCGCATTTAGTGTTGTATGACATCTAATATGAAGATGAAAGTTACCCTAGTATTGTTGTATAACATCTAATGTAAAGTTGATCCTTACCATGTAGTTGGTGTATGCCATGTTATGTGAAGTACATTACAAATCAAGATAAGTTAACTCTTACCCATAACAGTGAAATGTTAGTGGATTGTATGTTGGGAGTGTGTGTGTGTTGAAAAAGGCGATATTGCATCAGGGAGACAGTGGCTGTGCGCATGCGCGAGAGGAAGGGACGGAGAAAAGGAGGTAAGAAGATGGCGTAGCTTGAGTGAACACGCTGCCTGTGTGAAAACAAAATAAATATGAAAAACTGCAAAAGAAGGCTTGTCTTTTGATTTTGTATGTGTAATATAAAACGTAGGAGAAAAACTTGTGACATTTTGGTGTCAGAAGTGGTCGGTGCTCTGCACCGTAAAAGAAAGAATTAAATCTAGATTTAGTAGTGTAACTGAATAACTGTTCTTGCATCATTATGATGGAGTTCGAGTTCTATGCCAAATACATTGAGTTGGCTGATTCGTTAGGATACACTGGGGCAGAGAAGGCAAATTGGGTAGAAAAGAAGGTAGCTGATGAAATGGAAAGGGAAGACAGAGCGTTAGAGAGGGAATTCAATAACTTTATAATGGAGGTTGAGAAGAAAAGAGTTAAAAGGGAGGCTGAGATGGATAAAATTAAAATGGAGGCTGAGCAAGAAATAGTTAAAATAAAGGCTGAGGTGAAAAAACTTAAAATGGAGACTGAGAAAGAAAAAGTTAAAAGGGTGGCTGATAGGTAACTAGATCTAGCAGAAGTTAAAATGGAGGCCGAAGACAAAGACAAACAGAGACAGCATGAGGTAGAGTTAGAAAAAAGTAAAAGTAACCAATCTCAAGTACTATTCGCAAACAGGGAGACTAAACATGAGGCAACAGGTTTTTCTCCTTTTGAACTTGAATTATTAAATAAACAGGAAGAGGAATTTGATCCTCATGAACTAGTAAACCAGACTAGAGAGAGGATAGTTTATGGTGTCCAGACAGCCCGAGAGAATGCACAGTTAGCCAGTGAAAGGCACAGAAATATAAAAAACAAACATAGATATTTAAAAACTTTTGAAAGAAGAGATTTAGTTTTTGTCAAACTGCCAAACAGAGAAAACATAGAAGCATTTCAAGGACCTTTTGAAGTAATCAAGAAACTATCTGATGTAAATTATGAAATAAACATAAAGGGAAATAGCACTCCTATACACATAGACAGAATGAAGAAATTATATGTAGAGCCAGAGAAACTGATAGATGAAGAACATATGGCCTGTACTATAATAAGTGAAAGCTGTAATACACAAGAAATTAAGACTTATAATATCCCAGTAAAGGAGAAAAACATAATGGACAAAATAATAAATGAGTACAAGGATATGATTACAACAGAAATGGGTTTTACTGAAAAATTCAACACAAAATAGAATTGACTGATTATAGTGCTATGAAAGGGAAGCATTACCAAGTAGAGGTTGCTTATAGAGAAGCTGTTGAAGCAGAACTGGATTTTCTACTTGAGTCTGGGCAAATAGAAAGAACAGAATCAGCATACTCATCACCCATGGTGATAGTAAGAAAAAAGAACAACAAAGTAAGGATATGTTGTGACTATCGAGAGTTGAATAAAAGGACCAAGATAGATGCTGAACCCATGAATGATCCTAAAGACATTTTGGAAACTATCAGTAAATCCTCAATTTTCACCACTTGTGATTTGAACAGAGGCTTCTGGCAAATAGGACTGGAAAAGGGGTCAAGACAATACACCGCCTTTACATCTAGCAAAGGTCTATGTCAATGGAAGGTGATGCCATTCGGACTTGTGAACAGTACCGCCACGTTCCAAAAATTCATGAATAAAATGACAGAGGGAATGAAAAACCTGGTCTTCTTTGTTGATGATATATGCATACATAATAACACATGGGCAGAACACATAGAAACACTAAAAGAACTACTGGAAAGACTTAGAAAACATGGGATTACCATAGCACCACAGAAACTGCATGTGGGAGTAAATACAGTAGAATTCCTAGGATTCAAGGTTGGAAATAAAGAAATTAGACCTACTGAAGGAAATAAGGACAAAATATTAAATATCAAAACTCCTAGTATAAAGAAAGAAGTGAAATCATTGTTTGAACTATGCAATTTTATAATATTTTGTGGATAAATATGCTGAACTTACTACTCCTTTAAGATTTTACTTTCAAGCTTTAATATATAACATCAGTTATCATGCATATAGAACCTGATTTGGTGGATGTAACAATATAATTTTTAACCACTTTAGTGTATCACCAACCTCAAGAGTTTAAAATTTTTATTTCATTGATTAGTTCTACACATTCCTTTTTTGGCTAACAAAATCTGTTACTCTTTATGTTGTGTGCATTGGTACTTGAGCATCAGTGATATAAAGTATAGCTACCAACACTGAGGACTACTAACATACATTATTTTACATGTTATTGACTTTAGGAACATTTGTAAGTTAGAAAACCATTTAAGGTAAAGCATGGAGTTTGTTATCATAATTTGTCAACAAATGTTTAGTTTGTTATAGAACCTTGTATTTTGTTAACGGATGTTCATGAACATAACAGTTGTGTATTTTTGTGCACTTTATATGGTAATGCTAATGGATCCTATTGTTGTTTAAAGTTGTATTCAATTAACAGAGCTTAACTATGTGTTTGGAATTTTGACTTGGTAAATATTGCTTTCATAAGGAAAATGGATTTGTCTAAGAACATTATGTCAAGATAAGCTAACCTGTAAAGAGACTGCACAATACACTAGCTGAATTTTTTATCAAGACAGATTGAAGATGAAAAAACAAAGATGGAACTGAATAAAGAAAATAATGACCTGAGACATATCAGCCAATTCTTATAAGGAGATTTTGAATAATGTAGTATGTGATGTGTACTTCCAGAGAACATTAACATTTTAAAAATGTGAGCAAGATAGGAATAAGTCATAAAATGTCTTGTATAAATATGTTTTACCACTATTTTAATTTAGTAATGAAAATGAACATACATTTTGTTGTATTTTTATGATTTGTATGTATACTGTATATCTTGTTAAGTAATGAACATGATTATGGCAGTATGACCTGACAGATGTGGTAATTTACATATGTTATGATGAGGAGTGTACCTCAGCCATTGAAGTAGGGAAATCAAGGATATGATTTGCCCATGGGAGCTATTTCATAGCTATGATTTTGTTCTACTAAGAGAGAGTTTTCCTTAGTTAGATTTATTTTGAGATACACTAAGAGGCAATATTCCTTAGTGAGGTTTAATGATTTCTTTTGTTTGTTACACTAAGAAGAGATGTTCCTTAGTTAGAGTCACTTGTTCTTATTAAACTAAGAAGGTTTACCTTAGTTACAATTTTCTTTAATGGTGATACTTATTAGATAAGTGAAACTTTGCATATTGCCATGTATTTTAAGTATATCATTGTTTTAATTTAAAAAGTGTACATATACAATAATTTAGGATGTTTATTAGCAAGTTTCTTTTTCAACATGATTTTCATTTCACTGTTACATGTATCATGAAGATTTTATAGTGAATGTGATCTATATAACAAAAAAAAAATAATAAATTAATTTTTTTTAAACGGGAGAAAGGGCGTATAACAGTGAAATGTTAGTGGATTGTATGTTGGGAGTGTGTGTGTGTTGAAAAAGGCGATATTGCATCAGGGAGACAGTGGCTGTGCGCATGCGCGAGAGGAAGGGACGGAGAAAAAGGAGGCAAGAAGATGGCGTAGCTTGAGTGAACACGCTGCCTGTGTGAAAACAAAATAAATATGAAAAACTGCAAAAGAAGGCTTGTCTTTTGATTTTGTATGTGTAATATAAAAGGTAGGAGAAAGGCCTGTGACATTACCCTTTGTCTGTTACATGGGGTCCCATCAGACGGAAAGATGGCGGTGCAGGTCAGGGTACCAGGTACACGGCAGTAGATCTGTGAGCAGACGTCGTCACCGTTCAGTGGGCTCAGGGTCTGGGGAGGTAATGAAAGGTCAGAGTTCACTGGTTGACTGTAAAGGTAATGAAAAGTCAAAGACTATTAATGATCTGCATTGGGAAATAAATGTCAGAGTTAATTGATAATTTCTGGAGGTTGTAAAGTAACAAAGTTAGAGGGTCTGTAGAGGAAATAAAAGGTCTCAGTTGATTTAAGATCAAAGGAGAAAATAAAGGTCCAAGTTCATTGGGGTTGTCTATAGGTAGTATGTGTTTAGAGTAAATTATAAATCTGTTTAGGTAGTAAACGTTCAAAGTTCTTAGATGGTTTGTATTGGCTAAAATGATCAGTTCAGCGTGGATGTGTCAAGGTAGTAAAATATCAGAGCTTACATTAAATGTTGAGTGAAGGTTTCAACATGATGTATTTATTTTAAGTGCCTGTAGAATCTTGTGCATATTTAGAAAAGCCCAAGCAGTTAAAAGATAATTAATAGTGTATTTACCCTGCAGAATGACGTCTGAGTGGTGCCCAGTGCCCTCTGGCAGACTATGTCAGGGTTGAGCTCATCACCTGTGTAGGTACCGTAGGAGACGGTCAGTCTGGTGGACTGGTAGCTGGTGGACAGCAGGCAGTTGGGGCTGTTGAAGGGAGGGTTAGAAGATAGGGTTGTGGTACTATGGTTAAAGGTTAGTAGCTAGTGATGTGGTACTTTGGTTAAGGGATAGCTGCTAGTGATGTGGTACTTTGGTTAAGGGACATCAGCTAGTGATGTGGTACTTTGGTTAAGGGACATCAGCTAGTGATGTGGTATTTTGGTTAAGGGACATCTGCTAGTGATGTGGTACTATGGTTAAGGGACATCAGCTAGTGATGTAGTACTTTGGTTAAGGGACATCAGCTAGTGATGTGGTACTTTGGTTAAGGGATAGCAGCTAGTGATGTGGTACTTTGGTTAAAGGATAGCTGCTAGTGATGTGGTACTATGGTTAAGGGATAGCTGCTAGTGATGTGGTACTATGGTTAAAAGATTGCAGCTAGTGATGTGGTACTATGGTTAAAGGATTGCAGCTAGTGATGTGGTACTTTGGTTAAGGGATAGCTGTTAGTGATGTGGTTTTATGGTTAAAGGATTGCAGCTAGTGATGTGGTACTTTGGTTAAGGGATAGCTGCTAGTGTTGTGGTACTATGGTTAAAGGATTGCAGCTAGTGATGTGGTGCTATAGTCAAGGGACAGCAACTAGTGATGTGGTACTATGTAAGAGTGATGGAAGTTTGTCCTAAGAATCTATGGTTGAGGGATGGAGTTTAGTGTTGTGAAAATATAGTTAAGGGTGGGATTTAGTGCTTTGAAGTGATAAATCCCCGCCACTTACGAGAGCTGACTGAAGAACAGCTTCATGTAGGCTGCTGTAATGCTGGAGTAGCTCCAACGGTTGGGCTCGGTGGCGTAGTTGTAGGGCGACATGATGTAGGTAGATGTGGCGTCGTCGTTGTTGGCACTCAACCTAATAAACATACGTACCAGAATGTCAGTTTATTTCAATATCACCGATATCATAAATTAGAGAACGTAGATTAGGTATATAGGCCTACTTATTCACAATAGCATTTAATTGTTAAAAAAACAAATTGCATATAGTATGTTGTCTGTTTTAACAGTAGGCCTACTAGTTTTTTTGTGACATCGGCGTACGTACATGAAGCCAATAGCGTGGGAAAGAGAAACGACGTCACGGTATGTTCCCTGGAACTCTGCTATGGTCACAGCGGACAAACCGTTACAGACGGAGCCAATGTTGGTGTTACCTGGAGTTTTAAAGTGTTATATTAAAACAGAATATTATAATAATAATCAATTGCACTCATTAATGTTCAATTTTGTTCAAATTTATGTTTGTGAGTTTGTATCTGATGTTGTACACATGTTTTTGTGCGAGTGTTTTTTTTTTTAATTGTGTGTATATGTGTATGTATAGGTGTCTAGGCTATGTGTGAGAGGGTTTATTTGATCATCTGTATGTGTGTCTGTGTGTGATGTATGTATACGTGCATCTCGGTTTGTATGCGTTTGTGTGAGCTGATAAATTTTAAAAACATTAAAGAACGAAGGGAAATGATCCTCAACACAATGAATAATGTAAATGTAAGGCATAGTTTTGAAACACTGAACTACGATGAATGACGTAGTTGTTAAATAAACGACAACTCACTTGATTCTCCTGAACCACCTGTGCCAAACAAATCCGCTCTAAAAAATAGTTATTAAACATTAAGTACATTTATGAATTTTCACTAACATTTTTAGTCCATTCATAAAACTTTGACGATGAAATGCTATTTAAAGTCACACATTTTTTAATTTAAAACAAAATAGAAACATTATGTCAATATAATTTTAAAGATTTTTTTTCTGTATAATATATTTAAAAATATACATAAAAGAAATATATTTTATGGAGCATTCATACAACAAAACAGAATTTATTTAGAGAAAATGTAGACAATATAGAGAAATTTTAGTCCCCTCCCCCCCTCACAAGAAAAAGTCTGGAAGAAACACTGACTGCTGGGGTTGATTATGTGTCACAATGTATGGAAGAACTAAGACAAAACGTTAATCATTAAAAGGTATTGTAACATCTTTGATTGAATGTATCTTGCAAATATAAAATGTGCGTGTTTCTAAAAATATTAACTTGGCTGGGTAATTCAAACCTATATTGAACTTATGTGTTGCATCATACAGATATATATTTTTAAATTGCGACCTAAGTGATAAACAACATTTTAAAAAAAAAGCAAAATTGTGATTTTAGATTTTGTGACATCTCTTCACACGTGACATATCGCCAATTGGTCTGCGCTCCATCTCCTCTACGAATACAAAGTATTATAAGGACGGTCGTTTCCTTAAATAAGAGAATGAAGACAATACTAAAAGTTAACATCCACATTTATACCTACAGATGCATACGACAGACGGAGTAGAGTTGCTATATTTTTTATTTTAATTTATGAAGGGATGGTAAGTTCAACATAATTCCAAACCATTTCTTTCCTCAACTTAAGTCATGTACCCATCTGAGCTGGGTGGACTCCGGAACGTCTTGCAGACCCGGGTCCGGACTGAGATCCGAACTCAGGACTATCGAGATAGTAGTTGAACGCTCTACCATTCGACCACGACGCACTCTGACAACAAGACACGTGAAACAACTTACCCAGTAAGCAACAAGGCGAAGTCGTAGCTGTAGGTGGCAAAGGCGGCAGTCTGTAGAAGCCAGGTCTGGAAGGTGATTTTACCAGTGGCGCTGTTGACGGTGTTGGTGGTGCCAGCCATGTAGGTGGTGAGGACGTCGGAGGTCTGTTTATAGTTTATATAGTGAAAAGGTGCACAACATTGTAGAAGAAACAACAGTGAACGTAAACACTTGTTTATATTGAGTGTGATAGGTCTAGTTAGCGTACGGGAGCACTACAGTGTAGAGATTTTCTAGTGAAGTTAAACACATGTTTATACAAAGTGTAAAAGTCTGGATAGCAAAATAGTGCACACAATTGTAGAGAGACATTTTGAGAAGACATTACTAATAGTATTATTTGAAGTTGGGGAGAAAGTAATAATCAACTCTCAGTCTATTCATGTAGAGTCTGATTACGTGTACAACATATGTTGTGCAACACATGTTTATATAGAGTGTGATAGATTTACTGGAGCACCAGAGTGTAGAGATTTTCTAGTGAAGTTAAACACATGTTTATATAGAGTGTGATTAATCAAGTTAGCGAAATGGTGCACAACATTGTAGAGAGATAACAGAAGCTAAACACATTTTTATATAGAGTGTATTAGGTCTAATTAGCGCACTGGTGCACAAAATTGAAGAAAAAAAAACTAAAATTAAGCACATGTTTATTTATAGTGTGTTAGATCTAGTTAGCGAAATGTTAATCTATAGTGTAGAGAAACAACAGCAAGGTTAGATAGGAACATGTGAGATAAATCTAGTTAGCGAAATGGTGCACAGCTTTGTATAGAGACATAAGTGAAGTTGATCACATTTTTATTTGCCTTTAAAATATAGCGGAATAGATTACAAACCAATAAATGCATTTAAGAAAATGAATGATACAACCAGTGTTTCTTCCAGGCATTTTTCTCCCGGGTGGCACTTGATATTTTCGGGGGGCGGTCGAAATTTTACGGGTGGGTCGGACACTAATAAAAGTGTATGTTTACTATATAAATTCCATCTCGTTCGGGGGAGGGGGGGGGGGGGGGGAGGAGGGGAGGGGACTTTTTTCGGTGAGGGGGGGGGGGGGTGGAGCCTGGATACAACCAGGTGAAATTGTCAGGACTCATTACTAGGTAAAGTAAAATAATCAGCAGAAATTACCAGAAAATCCAGTTTACGTAGACGTAGGTCAATATTCAGTCCGTAGATGCTCAAGGTAGACAACATCTTGTTCACCTTAATAAACAAATAAATTAGCGTTAAAAAAGCTACTCGGTAATCTTTATTATCAGATGTTATATATATATATATATATATATATATATATATATATATATATATATATATATATATATATATATATATATATATATAAACTAAATACACAAAAGTTAGCCATACCTCAGCCAAGGCATACTGCACATCTTTGCTAATGTTGTCTTGAGCCAGTTGTCTTCTGTTACCAGTGTAGCTATATGGCACGTAGTTCATGTAGCTGAACAATAAACACGGAAGTAAAAAAAATATAAAAATATAGAACTTTGTAAAAACAACTGTTTGATTTAAGATTTTATATCGCTAGCTCGTTAATTTATTAGAAACATTTTTTTTAAGTATTAGCATATATTTTTATGCAAAATACGCTATTTAAGTAATATCGAATACAAATAATTAATTTTTATCGCAAATTAATCTTGTTTTGTTTAAAGTTCCATTTTCGAACCCAGCGGTGTATGAGGCAATGGAAGTAGAGTTCCCTGTTTCTGTGACCTCTGCATATAAGGGGATAGTGTGGTCAGCGCAAGTGGTTTTACGGACTTTTTTCTAAGGGGAGCACTTTAAATTTTCGGAAAGGTGGGGGAATGGATTAAAATTTTGCGGGGGGTGGGGGCGGACACTGTTAAAGCTATATACTTTTTAAATAAATTCCATTTCGGAGGGGGGGGGGCGGTAGGCTTTCTTCGATGGGGCTTCCCCCCCCCCCCGAAAAGATGCCTGGAAGAAACTCTGGTTAGCGCTATGCCCAGTGGTTGGCTATGCTAGAGATTTAGGGGATGTCTACCAGCTTACATATTTAGAAGTTGGACAAACCAAGCTAGCTTGTACCAGAGGTTGGTGAAGCTTGTTGTAAGTGATATGTTAACACGGGAACAATGAATTTAGGAGAGTAACTTGACTTACTTTGTAGTTATTTTGTTTTCAACAGCCACGTACACCTCAACTACATAGGACTGAGCTGCAATGGTTTACATCATTTAACCCTTCATTTCATGTTGTATCAATTTTGATACAAAGTGAAATAACCCACATTGAATCTACACAAATGTTAAAATCTGAGTTTTTAATATGCCATACTCTAGCTTGATCACTTTTGACCCAAATTCGTACCCGAAACAGACTATAGGTGTGTTTCGTCTCACACAATTCGAGTTTGATTCCGTTTTTTTACACTGGTCTGACAGCTGTGATCGAGGTGTTTTTGAGAAAATAATAAAAATTCACAGGCCGTCTTTTTCTTCTTGAAAAAAATATTCACCAATCTCAGGTGAGTAATTTTACCTAAAAATAAGTTGTTTTCATACTGTTTCTTTATATTTGTGCTGATAATGTCCAATTACGGTATGTAACAGTTTTGATACACCATGCAACGGTATGACCATGACATTAGCTGGGACTACTGTATAGTGACTTTTCTGTAGTATAATAATTAGTTGATAGAACAATTCCTAACATCTAGTAGGTAGACTCTAGTCAACTGTTGGTTCTTACACTAGCTTAGGTTTGTTTTTCTTTCATATTTTTACAATAATAATATGTAAATTATAGAAGAAAAATAGTGTCAAAATCTGTAACAATAGAAACATAGTCAAGTTGTAGACTATTGTATACTAATTTTACTTAGATTTAGCACTTACTCAGTACTATATATATACAGATGATCAGTGTGCTACTATAATAAGCCTATAATATAGGGTGTACATTGTAGTGCTGCTATTGAAGACCAAAAAAAGTGTCATAATGTATAACAATAATAACATAGTATTAGACTGATATTTACTAGCTGCTGCTTAGAATAACTTGCAGATAATTCTCTAATCATACTAATTCATACCCAGAGACAGTGTTTGGGTCTAATAAGCTTAGAAAGTAGTATAGTAATTATTATGGAAGAAAAATAGTAATAATATTAGGCATAGGCCTACATACTTAGTCTACTTATTATTTACTTCATACCGGTACGCAAACAGTAACAATTACTATAGGCAGTGGTGGTTTCCTTATGTTTATAATAGTAATTAAAACTTAATTTATAAATCCATGAAGTTCATGAATGATTAGAGATTGTTTTAGTGCTGACAGTGTTTTATTTATTTTTACAGGATCTCTTTTTGTCTAGACTGAGCGATAAATTTTGTCGCAAAACTGTTCTGAATGAAATAGATGGTAGACTTCAAGGAGAATGTAAATGAAAGTGAAGTTGGTGTAATATTTGAATATTTATCTTATGAAGTTACAATCTAATAACTAGGCCTATAGTACATATTGTACTTATTACTTGCAATTATTGTTTTAAAAAAAATGGCATAATAATATTTGATTGACATTCTTGCATATAGTATTTATACTTGCAAATAAAATCCTAATCCTCTAGTATATAAAAAGTAGCAGTTATACATTATTTTTATTTAAATTATAATTTAATTTGTGCATGCATGAAGATAAAGTAAATAAATCTAAAAATAATATATAGTTTCTTTTAGTAATGAAATATTTTTTTTTACAGCATGGGTAAAGATTCTCACAAAAGAATTCTGTCTGAAATAGAGACTGCATATTTCTTTGGTCACTAATGTCTAGTTATTTATCTTTTCATTTACCTGATGTTGAAGGTGTTACTGTAACTGAAATTGAACACATAGAAAGTAATGTAGAGAGAATAAAGGGATTGGTTCGGAGCAAGTAAAGCGGTAGACTTTTATTCTGATATACATTCATAAGCTTTAGGCCTACATGTATAAGATGTACATTCATAAGATGTAAGCAGATGCTAGTCCAGCAAAGTGGTTAACTAAAACACATGAATGTTTTCTATTATTTGTGAGGAATAGGAACTGACCAACATAGTTTTTAGTGCAAGGCCTTCCGGCTGTTCAAGATTATTTTATTTCACACCATGGATAAAGACTATCTTAGTATACTGGGTGAAAGGATTTTCTAGATCTACAATGCACAGAGGAATCCAAATAAAGCTTGAAGTCTTTGATATAGCAGAAATAAATCAATTCATTGGCTTCTAACAGTCATGTCTCTGGTTTCATTGCATAGGAAAAAGTTCTAATAATGGCCAAATATCAGAATTGTAGATATATTCTAATTTCTTTCATATCAACAAGTTTGAGTAATTGAAAACAACTTTGCATTTAAAACAATAACAATTTCAAATTATACTAGATAGAGGTCCTGCTGAGCAAAGTGAGGCTGCTTATTGACTTACACAATAAAAAGATGCATGATTACCAAGAAATATGACATAACTGGTAATAGCAATATTGTAAAAAAAATGTAAATTGCTATCTTGTAAATGAATTTCTGATGCTCCAGATTGGGATGAATTAGTGTTTTACTCAAATCAATAATTACTCAATAAATTTTCAATTATAAGTAAAAAATAATTTTTTGTCAATTTTAACAAATTTGTACCCACCGTTGCATATTGTATCAAATCTGATACATACTGTTATTTTGCAAAATAAACATTATTTGATAAAATAATTCAATTTCCTCATTATTTATGCTCTCTACACACCACAACCCACCTTGTAAGATTTTTTTTTTCTCAAAAAGCTTTCACAAAATTAATTCATGAAATGAAGGGTTAAATTAAATCGAATTACAGGAAGATGTAAACTGTATGAATTATAACATTACAAAATAATAAAAACATTTTAGGAACATATTCCCAATAATTTCGTATAAAAATGCGACAATATATTATTTTTTAAATATTTAAAACAGAGCACAAGAAAGTCTCATTGCTTTAAACTGTGCATATAATTATATGTTTATTTCAGATTTTTTCAGTTGAGGGGGCGATTTGAAACTTGCGGACAAAATTTTCCGATGGGGGTGGACACTAGTAAACTTATAAAAGTTATATATATTTTTTTTTTCGTTCGTTGGGGTGTGGGCAGTAGATGTGCTTCTGGTGTCCGCCCCACTCCCCACCCCCAAGAGATACCTGAAAGAGAATTGGAAGACATTAATAATTGAACGACAGACGGTACAAAAAATACTTACCATTTGTACCGTGAAGTACAACACACAAGACAGCAGCCAATGATACAACAGTACGCATCATTCTCGTTTGGAAGTTGGATACTGAAAAGTAAAAAAAAAAAAAAACATAAAAGGAAATAAACAATAATTTTTAATTTATAAATCACCATGTTAAGTGACGCTGTAATATATTGTATAAGTCAATAAAAACAAAAGCAATGCTGATCTGTACAAAAATGACTCTAATTGTTCTACAATTTATTGTTCGTGGCAATAGAGCATGCTGATTCTGAAATTAATTATCATCTAGTAAACAAACAACATTTTTTTAAAATTTATTTTTTCTTAACATTTGAATCCCAAATATTTATTAGAAAAAAAAATCGATATAAACATTTCATTTACTGCGATTAGCATATTAAAAAAATGATGGATAAAATTAAAACATTAAATTCTAGATGTAATTTAAAAAAAAAAAGAAATTAGAGCTGTAAAAAATGTTACCCATAAGATTGCAAGCAAACTTGATGAACAGCTCTGCCACACCGGGTACCTGACACTGACGACTGGCCAGCTTATATACAGAGTATTGAGGAAGTTACACCACGTGCACCAACACGAATATACAAAAATAATAATTTTTCATGATAATATTATTTGATTGGACCATAGATTAACCAATCATATCTGTTTAATCGAAATAGGGAAGAAGTGTGTGAATATTCCCATATATGGAGCTAGATTTTTGCATACATTATGCAAACCAAACGAGGTGGTTTATATTTCAGGGCACCGCGGGATAGAGGAATATAGTGGGTGGGTTGGTAAAATTTTACTCCTTTATTAAAGGCTGAGCAAAAGAAAGAGAGTTGAACTGTTTCTGTGACCTTGTAAAGGGATAGCTTGGTTACGTTCTATGCCCCAATACTTTAACTATGTGTGACAGAGGGACTTCTCACTGTCACAAACTTTGGACCCACGGTCTAGAGTTGAGTTTTAGCAGACGCGCGTCCGACCACAAAACTTTTTTTTTTTACTTTCTCGTATATACGAAGTATAGAGAAAGTATTGTAATCGTGCACAAAAATAACATGAAATTTTGACAGTTTTCACAGTTTTACTCCTCAGTCCTTCATCACATTCGGAGTATAGAGGACTTATTTTAATCAGGCAAAAATTATAAATACAAATATATAAACGTTTTAGCGTTTTATGCGTTATCGAGTCATAAAAACTGGACTTAGCAATTCTGTCCGTATGTCTGTGTGTTTGTGTGTCTGTCTGTGTGTAAACACGATAACTTGAGTAACGTTACAGCTAGGTTGATGAAATTTCATATATAAGTATTTTATCAAAATCGTTGATCCTGATTAACTTTTGAGCGATTTCCAATAACCGGAAGTGATACTTTTTCTACTTTGAATTTTTCAAAAGCCTATAAGTTGCGTACTATTTTAGATAGATGCATGAAAGTTCACACGTAAGTTAAAGATCTAATTCTCTACCTACTTTCAAATTTTTAGTAATTTCCGTTGACCGGAAGTACTAATTTACGCTATTTCCGATTTCTCAAAAAACGCATGTAAATTTATAAAGTAATAATAATATCCCGCACTCTTATACACATTTTATTAGGCGTGCACTTGGTGTTTGCGATCGCTTATAGTAGAGTGATCGCTTGCATTATTGTGATGTATAGCATTTATTTTCTACCTTTTAGTTCAATCAGAAAACGTGGGTTTTTAAAAAAGAAATTAATGATAATTATTTTCTACTTTTTAGTCTTTGTCTGTTTGTTTGCATTCAAATCTTGCTATCGATTTTATCTTCTCGCATTCACTTTTTTTTGGGGTAAACGAAGACTACTCGTAAAAAACACGTGCCTTTTCCAATCGACGTTTCTTCTGTGTTGCCGTTGCTTTCACCATTTTGCCCTGGCGTGCAAACCATTCGACCATCA